CCACACATCCCTGCAGTCACACTGCTTTAACATATGATTAGGGGCGTATGGCCATGCATCTACAACTCTCAGAGGTTCATTTCCTATGCATTGACTGGTACAAAACATGGCCCCAGGTCTACAGAATTAAGCAACTATATACAAAAATAATCCAGTGAGAAACACTGCATATAAAAGCAAGCAAAAGTTTTTTTTTTTTTTTAGATTCTGCTGTTCTTCCTTTACATTGTTCTTTGCCACGTAAATGCACAAAACAAGGTAAGACTGTTAGGAAACTCCGTATTTGCTATCAGCTCATACTCCTTTAATGGCAGGACTGCAAGTATTATTCTTCACTATCACCCTATACTAAATAACTTTGCAGGTGTGATTTCATCAATAAGAACGCCAAACTTTCACAGGTTTTGGCCCATATGAAAGAAAAACAGCAATAAAGAAAGCTCATGCACCAGGAAACAAGTGAATAGAACTAGTGAACTAAGGTCTATGAAGCATAGGTCAAGGTGATTTATGTCGTATTTTTTATATATTTGCAATACAGTTTACTAGTTTTCTTATCTGAGAAAGTGTTGTATAATAATAAATCATCATCTATTGCATATTTTGCTGTGTTGTCAAAGGGCACACCTAAGATTTTGCTTCAATAACAAATTCAACCCAACAGCATACAGGAACTCACTTGACAAGCTAGACATAGTTAAAACATTTTGGCATTTTCTGACTTCAGTACTTTTGATCTAGCACCACATCCAGCTATTCACCTGGTCTATGCAGAACCACATTCACTTTTGTCTAAAGTAAACTACGCTTAAAAACCAACAGGAGATTATGAAGTAAGTCCCCAAATGAAAACCACCAGCAAGCAAACAAGGCTGGACAAGGACCTCTCCTCCCACCTCTTATCTGCTTCTCCTTCTCTCCTTTTCGTTGCTTTTTTCCTTTGGGATTGTTTTCTCTCTATATGAATCAAGCAACAGGAAGCTGGAATCACGCTCAGCTACACTTCTTGGTGCATGTGGCTAAATTGTTGTTCTCACCTTTAGCTGGTATTTTGTTGTTGAGCTATCACTGAGACAATGGGCATTTAGGTGCTTCAGCATTAGGTACCTTGAGCATCACTGAAATCCAAAGCTACTCCTTACTCAGAAATGCACAGGGCAACTCAACACAGGCTAGGTGGCTGAGACAGCCTGATGACAGCTTGTTTTCTCTTCTGCAGAAGATTACTGAGGGCCTAATCAGTAATCACAGAAGGTAGGGTTCACTGATCAAATACTCCCCTCACACAAATATCTACAGACATATATTGAAAGACTTGAGGGATGCTGAAGCGACGTATGTGCTCTTCTCTCTCTTTCTGCCTTACCTCCAGGAAGTAACAGGACAGTTGAGCAACAAAATTAATTTACTAACAAAAACTCACATAATTTTCCCTGATTTTCAGTGTAACTAACTGACTGGACTGTCATCTGGGTCCCTTCTCAGCCCATTCAGCTGTTCTGCCTGTGTGTCATCATTCCTATCATGTCAAACTCAACTTGGATCAATTGGAGAAAAGCAAGCACTGAACTAAACCCTGAATATTCGAGCTTTAAGGAAAACAAAAAGTTCCTTAGGTAAAAGTCACTGTTGCACAAATGGGCAGACCAATGTGGCATTTTCACCTACATTCAATCTCAAGATCAATTTTCAGCACTCTGGCAAAGCTAATGTCTTCTGCAGGACCCAGCAAAAGATGTTGATTAAATTCAGCAGTGAGAACCCAATTCCTGATGAAATTAAGGTTCAGCTATTGAGACAAGATGATTATGTGCGTGCACTAGCTGAAAGCCTTATTTTCATCTTCGCTAAAAATGTTGGCAGCACCACAGATCAATCACGTTTTTTTCTGTCCTCAGTATCCTAAATGAAATTGCATAGAGCTAATTCATACTGCAGTTTCATCTTGGAATCTGCCAGCAGAAATCCAAGCAGGATCACAGCAATTTTGAAATTCCACCAAACATACAGTTCCTCCAACCTGGGCTTCTTTTCGAGTTCCAAAACACTTAGTCAGAGCAGAGAGAACAAAACAAAACTACTGCATATATGCATTTCTGCACAGATGCAGAAAAAAAAATGACCAAACCAGCATTTAGACCTTTACTTATTTATTTTTGCATATGGCAGACATCACTCCTTCAATACAAGAGAAAAAATAACACATTTGCATAACAAAAAACACTATATGAGTTGTTAATGGACTCTGCTGACCAAAAATGGAATACTTTGCTTGCATGCAACTTCTAAAGTCAAAAGGGGAGATTTACTTTCCCTGTAATCATATAAGGAGAAAATATCTGTCTCCCTGCATCTATCTCCCTGCTGATAGAGGACAAGTATCTCCCTTTGCGCTTTGCTTCTGTGACTGCAGCACAGGGATTTTGCAACTGCAAGTCCAGCCTCCTGCGACAGCTGATTTACACAAGCCAAAGAGCCAAAGTTGTCCTCCCCTTTACTCTGGGTAATTCTGTGCAAGTGTTTGCATGACACACACACACACACACACACACACACACACACACACATGGAGTCTCTGTCCTCCTCTTCAGAGATCTGGGGGAAAAAAAAGGAGTTGGAAATAGTAAAGGAGAAAGGAGAATCCAGTAATTTGCAAAAAGAAAGACAAATGAGGACAAAGGAACAAAAATATTAGAGGGGAAAATGGGACAGGGAAGAAAGCAACAAAGGAGGGTAAAACACGCAAGATTACAGAAAGAACAAATTTAGGAAGATTTAGGAACAGATTTAAGCTCATTTTCTCCCTGAAAATGTAGCAGAGGGAGACAGCAAACAATATTCATGAACAGAGTCAGTTCTTTAATATGCAATACTGCAGTACTGTCTATATAACCTTTATAATCATCACACAGAAAGGTAAAACTTGGTCATCTCAGCAACTTATTTTCACAACTTGCAGTCTTTAATGGAAGCCTCACCCAAGCTAACCACAAAACCAGAATTTATTGTAAGATATTACGCTGATATTTCCA